AACCCTAGGTGACTTCAGCGATTCAGGGATTGACTTGCTACCTGGGAATAATCTCGTTGACTTGGAATATGCAGACGATATAGTCCTTCTAGGCGAAGACGCTGACGAAATGCAGAGTCTTCTAAACACCTTGAACAGCAATCTACGAATGTTTGGCATGCGATTCGCTCCCGCCAAATGCAAGATGATGTTACAGGACTGGACTACATCGACGCCTAGTTTAAAAATAGGAAGTGAAGTGGTAGAGCACGTTGACCGCTTCACTTATTTGGGAAGTACCATCAGCCCCAACGGGTTGATCTCTGACGAAATCTCAGCACGAATACAAGGGGCTCGTTTCGCATTTGTTAGTTTACGCCGACTCTGGCGTAGACGAGATGTTCGACTATCGACCAAAGGGCGGGTGTACTGCTCATCAGTCCGCTCCGTCCTCCTTTATGGTTGTGAGACCTGGCCACTGAGAGTGGAAGACATGAAAAGACTAGCTGTCTTTGATCATAGGTGCCTGCGTTCTATTTCCCGTGTAAAGTGGCATAATAAGGTGAGCAACATGGAGGTTAGGCGTAGAGTTCTAGGTAAACAGGGGAAATCAATCGACGAAGTCGTGAAGCTACAAAGACTGAGATGGTTAGGACATGTGTTACGTATGCCAAGCCATCGCCTCCCTCGACGAGCTATGTTAGCGGATATAGGGTCAGGCTGGAAAAAAGCTAGCGGCGGTCAAACAAAAACTTGGCATCAGTCAATGAAATCCACAACAGTTGGTCTAAGCCACGTAGGAAGGTGTAGACTTCCAGGCTGGGGTCCTCGGGACGGTAAAAATCTATGGTTGGAAACAATTGGTGACATGGCTCAAAATCGTTCTCAGTGGCGCAGATGCATCCACTCCCTGTGACTTATGATCTTCAATGAAACTGTTTTGTATTTCTTTATTACTCCTTTGTCTCACACCTCTGCTCACTGTTTCTATTATGCTTTTCTTGTACTTTCTTCTCTTGCTTCGCGTGCTACACGGAATGTGGCGACTTGAACTTCCGCACATTTGTGCAAAGTTCTATGTCGAAAACAGACAGACAGATCACAATACCTATGGCCAGGAAGCGAAGTGTTGTCGAAAAACTTGTAATTTCGGCAATTTCTCAAAGACCGTTGGAAACTATCCCGTCGGTACGCGTTAGCGGTAACCATCGCCTACCTTATATTCGCGATGTGCTCAGCCAAATTCGATACTTAGTCGACACAGGTGCCGAAGTTACCGTCCTTCCTGCTAAAGCGGCAGATCGACAGAAGGAACCTACCTTCAACTAACAGGCTCCAAATGGAAAACCACTTGCTACCTTTGGCAGGAAATACGTCTATCTGAAAGAAAGCAGCGAAGGCTGCCTCGAACTGTTGAAAATCCTTTTCGTGACACACAGTGCAAGTCTCTGACCCGTATAGAACTGACTGATTCTCACATTTGTGCCGAAAATCCGAGTCTCGTTCTTTATGTTTCTGAGAGCAGAAAATTTCCAAACTGGTCTCAGGTTGATGGAAGCGTATGTTGCCTTTCCGATTCTGACTTTGACATCTTCATCCGTTCCGCCTGCCTGCCTGCCTGTGGTTGAAACCATGCTTCCTAGATAAGTGAAGGAAGTCACTCCTGTCAAATCTCTCCCGTTGATGGTGATTGGCGTTGGTTGGTTATCTTCATCACCTCCGTCTTCTCTATGTCCACCCAGAGTCATGTCTTCACTGCCAGCCTCTTCAGCCAGTTTGTTGGTTTTCGCTTGCAAGTCTTCGAGTTTGTGTGACATTGAACATAAATCATCCATCCGTGAAATCCAAATCCTCTAGAGTCTTTTATCGGTCCAGTGTATTCTGTGTTCTCACTCTCGACGCACAGTCTGACGCATAATCCAGTCTACCGCAATCAGGAATAACATTGGCGGTGATAGGCGGCCTTGTCTTACTCTTGTATTCACTCGAACGCCTCGTTGGGTTTTCCGTTGTGGATCACTTGACACATGGCATCGTCGTATAGCTGTTGAGTGAGGTTGGTAGAGATTTGGGGCTCTTTACAGAATAGTGTTGAAGTAGTTTCCAAATCACTTCTCGGTCAACGCTGTCTGTCGAAGGCCTATTCAAAGTCGATCAAGCAAGTTGAGGTAGAGATTTGACTGCAATTCTATGCTTTGTTCAATGACGATGCGTAGAGTTGCATTTTGATCAGCAGATAACTTGCCTTTCCTGAATCGAGCATTTTCCCGGAGACGTAGTTCTGTATGCAGCTCATCGTTTATTCTCTCCAGGATGATGCGACTCGGTATTTTACTTGGCGTGGACAAGAGCATTATTCCACGCTAGTCAGTCCTTTCCTTGCACAGGTCTAAGTCGCCCTTCGTTGGCAGTTTGACGAGGTAACCTCTCTTTCAATCAGTAGGCACCTTTCCTTCTTTCCAAACTTTTTGCAGTAATGGGGTGAGAACATCTGCCGTTATCTCTGGGGCCTTCTTCACTGCTTCGCGAACAATGCCGTCTGGTCCTGCTGCCTTCCTGGAATTCAGTAGCTGGATCGAACTCAGGATTTCTTCTTGCGCTAGAGGGGTGGTATACCCGTGTAAGCTGCTGGTGGTATTTCTGGTCGAGTTGCTGGTGGTGGTCGATTCAAGAGTCCTTTGACGTGATCAGCCCACTCTTTGATTTGTTTCCCCTCCATGTTGATTGGGTTCCCTTGAGTATTTTTTGTAGGTTTCATCATTTGGGTTAATCGCTCAGCGTAGATGTGCAGCTTCTATTGTCTTTGTCCATGAAGAATTTGGAAAGCAGGTTGAAGGTATCTAGAAAGACGATGAAAGGTTCTCAAATAAACTATCCAGCGCGGAGAATACAACTACGCCAATATATTCATACAGGATTGGTTAGACTGTACTGTCGCTTTACTCTCTGTGATATAGCTGAATAAAAGGTTAAATATTTTTAAATGGACATTTGCAAACTCAAACATGTAAACTTAAAAAATTGCATTACGACGTAAAAGTTGTAGTCTGCCTTGCAATTTATCGATATACTTTAATAAATGAAAGGACACTGAAAAATGTATACTTTCTGAATCCCTTATGTTTTCCTGTTTTAGTGAAGCAGAAATGCGTTCAGCATTCAAAAATGCAGACAAAAACAAATCTGGCCGGATCGATATTTATGAGTTGAAGGACTTCTTAAAATGTCGAAAGAATGTTGTTCCTATGGAAGTCTGTTCCAAATGGATAATTCAGAATGACAGAAATGGTGATGGAAAGTTGGATTATGAAGAGTTTCTGAGTTTTATCCGGTCAATGCTTTGAAGGAAAGCCTTCAATCATTTTTCTTGTGTCGAAATACTATTGATGCTTGCAGTGTGACACCAGCTTATCAGTCGAAAAGTTTATTAAATCCTATTTCTTTGTTTTTCAAAATCCGCAGACGAAGATGTAATCTATGAGTTAACCCTAAAAGATACACGAAGGTAATACTGGTCAAGAATTTCCTGATGACTAGCGCTTTATGCTCAAATTTTGAAAATATTTGTATACAATACGAAAGTCCGAGCAAATTCCTCCAGCATTAACTAGTTAATCGACAATAAACAAAAGCCAATAGCGAGTGAAGTTCAACAGTGTCGACTTGATAATAAATATCATGAATTCAGATTAAAGCTGAATTATTACGAACAGAAAAATAAATAGGTATTCTGTATGCACAGCAAAATAAGCACCAAAAGCATTGTGTGCATCATGCATATTACAAAACGGCCGTTTAGTGCATTTCAGTCACATGATACACACAACTCAGAGAGTTGGTGAGTGATTTCAGGAGTGATTGCCATCTTTTGATTTTCCTGTCCTTCACTTTCATATTATATGGATAGCAACATAGATTATAGTGAAAAGTTTTGTTTCTGTCGTCACAAGACGAAACTCCTTTTCGACTCCATTTTAAATAAATTGCCCATTATCCCACACATAAACAAGATTGCGAAGACACTGAAGATCGACAAGCTCTGACTTTTACATATTCCACCCCCATACACTAGAATCGAGCAACTATGTGTGGAGTAGGTTGCCAGCTACCTGACTTCACTCTAGTTGTCAGGTGGTAGTCGTTTGTGTAGTTGTTATCAACGGAACAGTTAGATTAGGACATTCGATTTGTACGCATATATGATTAATATCTGTGCAGATTAATTCTGAAGCATTCCCTTACGCTAAGTAGATACGAAACTGTGTCAAATATTCCTTTACCTCAGTTTTCAGTGTTTTCATCAACTAGGAGTATATTGCATGTGAGTAGACTGATTTCTGCAGGAACAAGTCTTATGTCATGGAAATTCGAGAGCCAGTGAAGTGATTCGCACCCATAGCATATTCAACTACAAATAGCATTCCATATTTCCTACGCATTAGATGTAATTACTAGCCTGTAGTTTGAACAACAGTACGAGTTTGCCATAAGAAAAAATTAATTTTCTTTACTAGGATCTTGTTTTCAATAAGAATACTTCACCTGCTTAGTGTGACAGTGTAAGAGTCATAAATAATAAAGAAACCCTTAATAATGTACGGAAGATGTGTCTTCTGAGGGTTATGTACATGGTCAAAAAGACCCACCAAAAATAAATGATAACTGTGAGACTCTAATAATTTAGCCATGCTTCTAAAGAATGCAGCCAAATTTACTTTGGTTAAATTTTGCTGTAGTTGTCGGAAGAAATATTTCTCTCACTGCAGATATCTCTTGTTAACTGTCTAAGCAGTCAACAGATGCATAGAAGACATTTCGGCTCCGAAATACCATACCATCCTCTGATGATACCCGGTCATATGTAATCAATCTTCTAACTCCCACAGTTTGCTGAAACAAACGTTTTACTTTAGTCATGATGCAGTTGATTCAAAGAATCGAAGATTTTTATGTTCACAATGACCAGTTAAAAAAAATCAGCAGTTTAAAAACAAAGATTATTGATGAATAGAAATACATACATATATAATAGCAGCAAGCTCTTGGAACTTTTGGGTTTTAGCACTTGTTCCAGGCACAACGTAGCTATGGACCTTACTTGTGGGGTTATAACTTTCGTTTTCTGTTGTTTTACATTCATTCCCATATACAGTAAATTGAGTACCTAAAAAGTTGGAGCGCAGTTTGCCAGCTAAACACTTTGCACCCCGTGATAAATTGGTGACATCACACGATATCACATAGTTGCTAGTTGTTGATCGTTTACGGCGTCTAGCTGCCAACAAGAAAAATTTACGATCTTCCTTTTCGAGATGGAGGTAATACGAAGGATAAATTCCACCGTCGACACCTCGTTTGTCTCGAGTTATACAACAATGCATTGTGACACCCTGCAAAGTTTAAAAACCATATCAAAAATAGGGTTATGTGATTTTTAACACCTTAGAATGCATTTTATGTCCAAAGACGAAATCTCTAGATAACATGAGAACTTTTATAGTCTCAATGAAATCGAAGGCTTCGTTTAATGGAAATAGAACTTGAACACTGGTGGTATAGAATAATAATGGTCAACAGAAGCTTTAAACGGACAGTATCTGAGTAAGTTTGAACGTTTGAATGCCTTCTGTTAGCCCAGTCAGACAAAATGCTACAGATTATCGGATACCATGAATCTGAATTCAAGCACATAGGTCAAAGAAGTTGATTGGTCGCCATAACATTATCAAATAACCAAATATACAATGACGAATTCAGCTATAAGAAAAAGACGTAAACAGCAAAGAAAAATTTCTTTCTGGCGACTCATTTTCATAGGCCGTAAAATCGTAATTATATTTAACAAAAAATTATAAGACCAATCAGATACTGGTGAAATCTGTCCTCGAAAAACGTATTGCGTAATGTTGGGTGTAACCTAGATCGAGTGACTAATTTAAAGTTAGAAAAGAGGCAGAAGTTGGCACGACGTAATAAGTGCGAGATAATGACTGATCAATAAGATTGTGTAGAATTGACAGGAACTAGTAGAAAGGCGATAAAGTGTTTTGATATCAAATCTATGAAAACGCAGTTATGAAAAATAATAACACCAAAACCAAAGCACTTGAAACAAGAGATATACAGAAGGTTGATAAATGAAAAGGGAGCTTTGACTACACTTTTGGAAACCTGCTTAAAAGTCGTGCAATTTAGAGGTTTGATAATCTAAGAGTTGAATATGGCATATCCCACATAGATTACTGTCGACTGTCTCCATTTCATCATTGGATATGTGTTAAACCGTGTAATACAACTGACTTTATGGTACAGAATTCTACTTAAAACTGACAGCATTAATTTTCCAACATTATGTATTCTAAAGACGGAGTCAAGCATACTTCAACCACCAGTCAAAGTGGACTTCCACTTTGGGACTTGTAGGTATTTAATAAACCATGAAGGCTGATACTAAAAACACTGACTATAAGCTTACAGAAGTTGGAAAAGTCGGAAATAAAGTCCAGAATCACAAAATTTAAGGAGAAGAAGTGGAACTCATGTTTGCAGACTGGTTAATTTAATTTACTGAGTGTTGGCTCGTTTATACTATGGAAGTCGATTAATAATACTGATATGTATCCACATATATATATATTTATGTGTGTGTGTATGTTGGTCTCTCTTTCTGTTTGCTCGCTTAGTCTGTGACCATTTCACTTGTATGAACTTGTCTCCTTTAACAATGTGTATTCTCCTTATATTATGTTATATATATGAGTTGACAGTCCGTTGCTTGGTGACATATATCCATACATGGTGTTTGTTGACATGTCTGTTATATTTCGCTATGTATATGTGGATCGATACTTCATTATAATTAGCCATTCATGTTAAGACTGTCTAATGATTGTTCACACCCTTGTCACATATATTTCGCTCACACAATTTGTGTGAACTACTTTACTTTACTTACTTACCACTTTGGTGTGATACCACTTTTGCATTCTCCTTGTGTTTGGAAAATAGAAGTATCATCGCAAACCTAGTGGTCTTCTGATTTCCGCCTTCTTGCGTCAGGACCATTAGTTTCTTGACCAGTCCATAACAATAATTTAGCGACGAGTACATAACAATTTGGCGACGGGGAAAACTAGTACATAACAAATACTAATACACCGATTCACATGAGGATACCTATAATCTAATTGCACTGCCGTTTAAATAAGTGTTTATCCAACATTGGAGTGTGATGCTAGTGTATAGCACCAAAAGAGAATACATATCCTAATAGAATATATATATCCAAACCAAGTTCACTTTTAACGGTTAGAATACTATAAAACATATTCCTATCAATAAGAAAATCCGGTAGTCAAAGTAATCTATTCGTAATAATTAAATACACTTACCTGTGGAGCAGGTTTCAGGATAAGTTCATGCAGGTCCTCAGTTGAATCGAAAGCTAAAGGCTGGGTTAATTCATGGAACTCTAAATCCTCGTGTCTCTGAATGATGTTTATTTAAAAAGAAACAAACAATCATATATTCAATATCTTCAAAGTGTATATCACCACAGCATAGTAGATAATAATGAACAGTTGACCTGTAAGTAATCAGTACATAAAAGCATAAATTTCACCAACTAAATGGTCGGATTTATTTTCCCTTGTGTGGTCAATGCAGACTCCTGATTTTCATTTGTTTCTAGTTTTCGTTGCTTTCATAGAAGCACATAACTCTTTTCAAATTGGATAGTTTAGATTTCTTTGTCGTTAACATAATGTCAAGGATAACCTGTTTTGTTTGTTTACATTTTTACCCTGCGTTAAGAAGTATAATAGTAATTTTAATTGATTAAAGATGCCGATTATAAATTTCAAAGAAACTGATCAGTGAACAAAGAATTTATTGAATTTTCTTCTCTGATCATGTAACCATTAGGTTGTTTAGACGTTCATTTTCATAGGAAAGTTGGCTCATTTGTCTATGACTAAGAATAATCAAACATCTCAAAACAGTTTCAATAGAACGCTTCTTTATACATCCTTATGTAAAAAAAACCCGGAAAAGATTAACGCCTTTCCATGTGAATGTACATAGACTGCTTGCTTAGTCACAGACTAATTATGGATCTCCAGATGCTGCCGAATAATTACAAATTTAAACTTGTGATTCACGTTTAACCACCAAAATTGCAAAAACTATTCAAAACAGTGGGAATGTTTTCCTAACCTACCAATTATTTCATAAAGCTAAATCAATTTTAGTCTGATCGAAATTGGAAAAGAAACAGTGTCATGATTCAGTTGATTACAAAATTTATCAATACTGTAGCTGCAGAACGCAGTAATACTTGGGGGGGGGGGAGGAGCAGAATTATTTATCTGGCGAACGATATACAATGATGGTAAAATACAGAAAGTTTTACGTGTCCTCCTTCTCTCAATTGCCTGTTGTGCTTCCCATGTTATTCCATAAACATCTTTCATTTGCTCTCTCTTCTCAATTTAATCCATCATTCTACTATTCAAGATTAATGGAGGAAACAACACACAGTATACCATTTGTAAATTCTTATCAATAGCACACGCCATACCACTACTACTACTTTCAAGTAAATTTGGAATCAGAAACAATATTCTCTGAGGATAGCAATCTAGTCAATGTAGTTGTGAACTCTTATCGATTAACTTGATTGGATCACGGTTGCCCTGTGTTCAACTTAGCATTGTTGGCCTAATCACGCTGACGTTCAATCGATTATTCCGTCTGTCTGTTAGTCTTTCAGGCTTCGCCTAGTTTACTAGCCCGTTCTAAGCCAAAGCAGAAGTGACCAATCGCGAACTGAGAACTAAAGGAAAACTTAATCTGAGGAAGTCTAGCACCATATCCATTCCGCTACAGAAACAGTAGTAAAGGCTGTTAGTGACCGGGAACCAAAGGTAAGTAAACGTCAGTAGATTCCAGTTGCATCAATTCAAAACAATAGATGGAAGAAAACTGACTCCAGCTGACTCGGAATGTAACAAGAGGAAAAAGCTGTTCAAATGCAAGCTGATTAAAATTAAAAGAGAAACAGTATTAAAATTTAATTTTTCAGAAACTTTACTACTCTGAAATGTCAAAGAACAAAGGTGCTTGTCCATGTTTTTACAATGAATTATCGCTAACTTTCTCTTCTGCACCATCCATCTGACTACTTGATAGGAATGCCACAGTTAGAGTAGGCGACTTTCACCGAGTAGATAGAGAAAAGCACTAATAAGTAAAACCAGTTAAAACTGATTGAGGACAGAAGTACAGAAATTGACAACTGAAGATGCTGTTGTGTACTACTAAGAAAGTTATGAAGGGAAGAATACCTGATAGAATTCGACACAATAAAAATCAGAAAACAACTAGCATAGTGTGAGAAGCTGAATACGAATACAGCATGAAGACGAAAACGACTGGTCTGAACAAAGTGAATATTCAATGTAAGTCTGCCACGTTCCTTGTCACTACTAAAGCCACTTTCCATATTATTAATGTGGCGAAGGCTGTCTCAAGTTCGACGTAGCACTGGTGCCCGACACTCCCGATATTTCTTAGCTTGAAGGAGACACTTGATTCAGTCGATAGATGGGTGTCTTATTGTAGAGCTGTGACATGTCACTCAAGAAAGCAGAAATATGAAAAACCACAGATCTAACTGCGGATGCCTTCACATAGTGAGTAATATTCAGGTCCTCCGTAAAGGGTTAACTGTACTGATGAGATTTTTAATCTTCGTCTACTGGATATTCAGATTATGTGTACTGACGTCTCCATGGATAAAGTTATCGTACATCCGTTTCGCTAATTACTGTCGCTATCATTGGGAATTAAAATCCTTGTAGTTGACAAATTTCGAGTCGGCTTAGGATCAAAAGGAATTGAAAGTCCTCAATACTTGCACAGTAAAGATCATATTTTCTGTAGAGTCTATTGAAACACAAACCCCTAATATAGAAATGTCTTGCCATACTGAGGGGAAAAGATACTTGAATGACGCACAGTCACACTGTTATGAAGTTAGCGATTATTGTCTTCATAACCTGGGACATTGTGATAAAATACATTTGCATTTGGAATACATCACAAGTGTCTGAGGATAAAACAATTTGTGCTGGTTCCTACAACAAACAGATATTTTACAAGTTAGAAAAATGATTTGAATAGCTATGTAAGTGGAAGTACAGTGGAAAATTTTACCTTGATATTTAAGGAATTCTGAGATTTTGCAACATCGTATGTGTCAGAGTGATTATTTGTAGGATTTAAAACTACCCTTCTGGAACTATCTTCGCACAACTCGTACGAATTTTCAATGGCAGTTGAGACCAGTTCCATACTCATTTCTTTGTCATCACTGGAACTATTAATCTGAGACACAATCTTCGGGGAATTAATACGTGAACACGTTTCACCCCAGGAACATTGGATAACTGTTGGAGCAAGAGATTTCTCATCATATGAAGAGGTCTTCAAATCACAGATTGAGTCCGGACTCTGGAAAACAAAATAATATTGAATTGCAACATATAATCTACCCACTATAAACTGAAGGCTACCCAGATATTCAATTCGAGTTCTTTAAAGCCAGAAATAAAAGTCCTTACAGCTGGCCACAAATATAAGTGATGAAAGCCGAGACGATTTTAGGCATAAGTACTTTGGGGAACTATCATATTATGCAGCGTTGAAGAAAACAGTCAAAATAATATTGTCCATTAAAAATAAGATTTTATTTCGATAAATCACACAGTGTTATAAAGTAATATACATGTATAACACTGTGTGATTTATCGAAATAAAATCTTATCTACAATGGAGTTATACTCTACCACAGTGCCAAAGTTTCATACTTATATCAATAAAACAATGTTGTCCCTATTTCGCTCAATATAAAGAAAAAAATTCCTGTCTGGCTTATCAATCGACTACCAAACTAATATCGTTAAGATGCGTCAATCATTATAATATGCCATCGACAACAACATACACTTTTGGTTAAACATGGATCAACAATTAGTTCTGACTAGTATGTTTGCTCTACAACCAAAAAATACGGTGTGGTGGATAGAATAACATACCATAATTTTAATAAAGCCTTGTAAAACAATTTCACGAAGTATGAATATGTTCATATATGGAATAATACATGATGATATGTTAAATGGGTTCATAACTAAGATAACACGTTCGGCTTAGTAAAGCAAGCAGGATGACTGTTACTTGTGAATACGGTATCAGATTTCAGATGTAACGTTGCCTAGTTCATCTACTGTTTGATTGATTCTTCAGAAAGGCAGAGTAAGTGTACCATAGTGATCTAAGAAATAATGAAAGCCAGTAGGTGACAAAAGATTACTGTGCTGTCACCATTAAAAAATAAAAATTATGCATACATATATGGCGCAAAATCAACAATTTACCTTGATCGCTTGCGAATAACTACATACAGTACCACATCTAAGTGATTGTTCGTTGTTACACTGAACAACATTCGTGTCTAATTTCCGGTCGGCTACGCAGTGACACACATTGGAATCGTCACATAAACATCGTATGTGTTCCTGATCAATGAAGCAAGAGGACCTGTCATTCCAAGTATCCACTGGCTGCCGCTCAACTTCATTGTCACTTTCTTCTACAGGATAGGGGAATGATATAACATTAAAAATATTCGGTAAATTTATTAGGAATTAAAGTCACTGAAAGAATAACTCCTAAACTGCTGGGAAACAACATACTGAATTACAAACAAATCAATAAAATATATGTAATCATAAGTGAAACAACAATCAGGAAGCACGAAGCTCCAATAACTTGATGCTAGATAAGGGTGACACTTCCGACAAAACACTAAGAGGAGAAATTTAGATAGCTTACAGCGGTCCTACAGTTGCACACCACACAACCCTCGCCTTAATAGAGTGAAGCCATACACAATCAATTTTAACTGAGGTTGAATCATATGTCTGCAATCTGAAACGAGATACATAATCAGGAACTGATGACATGATTATATAAGTCTATAAGTAAGTTGAATTACTGACTAGATTAACTAAATAACTGGCCAGCGTAAGTATGCTAGTCCGAGTTAGTTCCGCCGAACTTGTGTTGATCGTTGACTGTCCCAGTTTATAAGAAAGAAGACAAGCCTTACTGAGATAATCCAATGAGGGTCAGCTTATCAAAGCATTCTACTCGAAAAAGTACAGCTGAGTAAGAGCAGATGGACAGTTGTCATATAAAATGATCACTACCAGGTGTTGATAACCTCGACTAGTTAACTAGCTTGCTAGTTTTCTAGGAGGTCTCAGTGTGACGACTCAAACTGCTGCACATCAGTGCAAAGTTTTATGTTGAAATGAGTCAGTCTGCTCCCCCTCTCGACTTCGTGTACAGCAGACTGGCTGTCTCCACTTCTTTAGGGAGCATTGATATGAAGTTTATCTGGTTTTTGCTGTGTCCGTCAGACAAAATCCATGTTACCTTGTGCATATCCTTGTCTACAAAAACATGGCATCAATCCATGAAATCCTTGACAGTTAAACTCAGTCAGGTAGGGAGATGCAGACTTCTCGGTTGGGGCCCACGGGACTTTAGGAATCAATGGCTGGAGACAATAGGTGACATGGCTCAAAATCGTTGTCAAAGGCGCAGATTTATTCAGTCTGTTTAATCTTTCATATTCCTTTCTACCATTAACCATTCTGTTTCACTCTTATACTTGTGAAACTCTATTAATTCTCTCCACTCATCTTCTTGTCTACTTTTGTGTGCTATTTGGAACGTGGTAACTCGAATTGCTGCACTTTGGTGCCAAGCTCTATGTCGAATCCAGACAGACAGATATCCTTGTGTTTGTACATGCTCTCCGATCACCAGCTCGTTGAAAGAGCAGAAGTCTGCGAATAATTCTCCGTTCTCATTCATTTCTCCGAGAGCCTCTCGACCAATGATGAGTTCTCTTCCTGTATTATCTACTCCCAGTTTGTCTTGCATTCCTATCGCACATAAGGATTTTGATGTCACCACTCAGGATGTCGTCCATTACTGTTCGCAGTTGTCTATAGAACTTTTCTTTCTTCTCTTGTTTCGCGTTGTTTGTAGCAATGTGCGTGGAATCGGATAATTGTTACCTTCCCTTCCTCCTTTTGAGTTGAATCTTGATGTCATAATTCTTGGATGAAATTGGTTCCCACTGTATCAGGGCTTTGGCTGCCACTGGTGACATTGTGATAGCCACTGCCTCAGTGTGCTAGTGGTTGTCGTCTGGGTGACTAGAGTAGATTACTGACTTACCAGTTGATAATTTTGATAATCCACATCCATTCCATCTGCTCTCGCAGATACCCATCACTTCTATGTCACATCTTCGGATTTCTTTGGCTACCTGGGTAGCCTTCCCAGTCTCGTACATTGCAGGAACATTCCCACGTCCCTATTCTTATTTTGGCTTTCGTCGACATGTGACATGTCACTCAAGAAAGCAGAAATATGAAAAACCACAGATCTAACTGCGGATGCCTTCACATAGTGAGTAATATTCAGGTCCTCCGTAAAGGGTTAATTGTACTGATGAGATTTTTAATCTTCGTCTACTGGATATTCAGATTATGTGTACTGACGTCTCCATGGATAAAGTTATCGTACATCCGTTTCGCTAATTACTGTCGCTATCATTGGGAATTAAAATCCTTGTAGTTGACAAATTTCGAGTCGGCTTAGGATCAAAAGGAATTGAAAGTCCTCAATACTTGCACAGTAAAGATCATATTTTCTGTAGAGTCTATTGAAACACAAACCCCTTGTAGCGGTAAATAATTCCCCAAAATTATTGACCATAGGAATCATCAGTGAACATTGGATGCTGAAACTTAGTGTTTAAGTCGACTTGTTTAGCCTAAGGCTTTCGGTCAAGCATCCCCTCCATTTGGTACTCCGTCGTGTCACTATCGTGCACGATAATTAGCTAGCTTAGCTTCCGCTTCACTCTGCGATTTGGTTCCGAAATATATATCGTAATTTGGACAACGGATCGAAGTCTTTTGCTCTGTCTTTGGTACGCGAGATTCAAATACGTTAGGAGTTGTTGGTATAAGAGCTTGCGTTTATATACCCAGTACTGTTCGCGAACGTCTATACCATCAACCTCTAAACTGGTGAGCCCAACCGCGAACTTCATCTTCGATAAATACTCAGATAACCCAGGCGAGTTCGTTCCTTTTTGTATTTGTTCTTGTACCATATATTATTCGACATAAGTTTCGTCATGAATAATCTTAGTCCCAAGGTCATTCGTGTCCGCTCAACTCCTAAAAGCATTCAGTTCGTACCATACCGGCCAGATAATGCTGAAACGTGGTTTCAGATAACTGAATCAGATTTTTGTGAGCATGGGATAACCGATCAACGTTCACAGTTCCTTGCAGTTATTCGCGCCCTACCGCGGGAATTCCGCAAGTACGTAACTTTACAGATGTCCAGTCCCGAGGTAAGTAACTCGTACGAGTTGCTCAAAGCATCCCTCCTCAGGAGAAACGTTCTCACAGACCGACAACGTCTGAACGAATTATTTCGTAAAATCGAGTTAGGGGATCAGTCAGCCGTGAGCATGCTGACAAGAATGAGAGAGGTTGTTGGCCGAAATCAGTTTGATGGAGGACTTTTTAGAGAACTGTTCTTATCCAAGTTGCCACAGCCCGTGCAGACTGTACTTGTACTTATAACAGATGGCTTAGCTATTTCTGCAGATAGGACTCTAGAAATAACTAAACGGTCAGTTCCCGAAATATGCTCGGTGACTAAGCAGACTTCGAGTAAGGATCCTGCAATGATAGAGTTATGCAACTCCATTCAGCAGATGTTTAGGTCAAACATGCCTTCTAACTCCTCCGACCGTCGTCCTAAATCTCCTCAACGCCGAAACCCACGTGGTCGATCTAAGTCCAAGCCACGTTCTCTGAAAAACCTTGACTGGTGCTGGTACCATAACACCTATGGCCAAGCAGCGAAGTGATGCCGTAAGCCTTGTAACTTAGGAAATGTCTCAAAGTCTGTGGGAAACTATCCCGCCGGCACGCGTTAGCGGTAGCCGTCGCCGGTGGCACTAGCCGCCTACTTTACATCCATGATGTGATCAGCCAGACTTGATATTTAGTCGACACAGGCGCCGAAGTCAGCGTCCTTCCTGCTACAGCAGCAGATCGACAGAAGGAACCTACCTTTAACTTACAGGCTGCAAATGGAAAACCAATTGCAACGTTTGGTAGGAAATGCGTCTATTTGAACGTAGGTTTACGCAAACCTATTCGGTGGATTTTCCTTCTCGCTGATGTCACAATACCCATCATCGCCACGGACCTACTTAATCATCATGATTTACTAGTAGACGTCCGCCGAAAACGACTGATTGACAATACTACTAGTCTGTCTATCAAAGGCACCATCTACATAGGCCCCAGCTCGTCACTGGTTAAGATAAAGGCAATCCTTGATCCAACTTTTCAACCTGTTGTTGACAAATATCCGGAACTTAATTGCCCGTCGAACGACCTACCGTGCATAACTAGCAATGTTATGCACCACATCATTACCACAGAACAACCCGTGACATTTAAAGCACGACGACTAGCTCCTGACAAACTGAGAATCGCCAGGAATGAGTTTGACCATATGCTTACCCTTGGCATTATTCGACCTTAGAATAGCTCATGTGCATCCCCGCTTCATATGAACCCAAAAAGGGATAGCAATGATTGGCGACCCACCGATGATTACCGGCGAGTGGATGCCAAACAACCCCCTGGTTGCCACACGCTGCCTCATATACACGACTTGACGGCGACATAATCTGGTGCGGTTATATTCTCTAAATTCGACTTGGTTAAAGCGTATAACCAAATCTCGATGGCAACAGAAGATATTCCGAAAGCGACTACCATTACGCCTTTCGGACTTTTTGAATTTCTACTTATGCAATTCGGTCTCTTCAGCAGTACGCTATGTCGTGAATTGGCAGAAGTGAGAATTCAAGGATCATTGGATCGGGTCCCAGTGGCTTTATGGTATACGAGCTCGCCTTGTAACCGGAAGGTCCTGGGTTCGAATTCCGGTGGGGGGGAGATTTGCTGAAGAGTCCCAAACTAGGACGAAACAGCTGTCCAGTACTCCCAGGATTTTCAATGGTTCTCTGACTAATGTCAGCTCACGATGGAATCCTGAGACCAATCAAATCCCCACAAACCAACACTTGGATTCATGTTTCACTTCGCATAAACTCAAAGATTTACAAGCGAAAACCACCAAGTTGATAGAAAAGCTAATGAGAACAGGACTTCAAACGAATATAGAGAGGATGCATAAAGATTCCCGACCCACCAACGCCGACTAGCATCATCATCTCTTTCCCTTATCTGAGAAACATCCTTTCAACAGGTGGCACATATGACGGTATCAAAGCTAGTCAGGATGAAATTGTGAAGGCAAGACATGCGTTCATTACTCTAAAATCAGTGTGGATATTCTCAGCACTCAACATAAGAAACGAGATTCGAATTTTCAACGCTCATATCAAGTCAATCAGTGGCTTCCATATGGATCAGATACATGGCGTGCACGTCAAGCAAAGCAATTTCAACAAGCAAACTTTTATCAATAGTCGCTTTTGTGTCATATTGAATATCAGATGAGTCACCTGTAAAGATAGGGAAGCCAGAGGGCAGGAAAACAGCCAACAACCTACTTCCGAACAAAGGGATATAGATTGAGTATACTCTGAAGAGACTCTCAAGTGACATCACATGCCAGATGTGGAATAGGGATCTAAATAGGAAGTGATGAATAGGGCATCCGAGGGTGACATGAAGAAGATCATGTGAAGGGGAAATGAAAGTCAGTCGGCGACCGTATAGCTAGTTGAAAGTGAAGGTGGGGAATTGAGTGGAAGGGAGATGTGCCGTTGAAGGCCTACACTGTATTTGGAATGCAAGTATGGAATAATAGTGATAATAATAAAATATTTATTTACCTGTTGAACTCATAACGGCGTCTTGGTCGAGTGAAGAATACATGGTGCTTGAACGCGTCATAGTAGGATTTTCCAAAGAACCAGTGACTTCATTCTCTCTGGTGTTAATTGATGACTCCTTGACAATGTACTGATGATTAGAATTGTTGTCACATAATGTTGAACTAGGTGTTACACGAATAACTTGAATCTCATTGAAAGGGAGAGAGTCGGGATTAGTTGTCTGATATGCCTGTGGACCATCATACGCTAAAATATTTTAAAAAAATTTTCTAAATAAACGCACCAGGATATATAACGAAATGGGATATATGGCAAAAGATTCACGGTGCTAACAGATCACCAACCACTTATTCCTCTGTTTGGATCAAAGATAGATACCTAGTTTACTCGACCAACAGACTACAGCGATAATTTTTATACTACTGGTGTGACGACAGAAGGCAAGAGTCAGGCAATATATCGTTTATTAAGGAAATCAACACATATTTATAGATTTTCATGTATATTATTGTTAGCAGATAAACACAGACTTCTGATTGGTTTTTTCTCACTAAAAGTTAATCTTTCATCTTTTTGCGGCTGTTTCTCGAATGTCAGATCATCTATCTGCTAATTGTATCCGCCTACTCAAAGTCTGCTGTCAGCCTCTGTTCTTGTTTTCACATGATAATTTGGCTAGCAGCAAGCTCTCACCACACTTGGATGCGACCCCGAAATAAAAGATCACACAAAAAATTTCGGCCATATAGATGCTCTCTCATGTCTAATAAGTAAACACCTTACGTCAAAAAGGGAACGGTTATTGAGGCTGTGCAGAAAGAAATCAGCGCTCAGAATTCATTAACGCGCAGTGTAAAGCAACTACCAACTACAACAGAGAAAACAAGGCAGATTACAGGAACATATGACATTTTACAAGCTATGAGGTGCATTCGCCACTCCTAGCTGGCATCTGAGTCAAATAACGACCTCAGGTAACTATTCCACAGGCGCATCGGCCTCAATATTATGTATATATATATATATATATATATATATATATATATATATATATATATATATATATATATATATTATAAGCGAGAAGCCTGAGCCCGTGGCTACACTAATTCTCTTTAGAAAACTAATCGAGGTGAGTGACAAATTCGTTTATCTGAGTAGCTGATACCTTACGTGGTCCGTGTCGTGTTAAATTAAAAAAATAACTAAATGAGAAATCACAGTATAAACTTAATGATGATTGTTTTATCAATCTTACCGTAACACTCCCCATTATTTTCGCAATTCGAACGGATATCGGAAGTGGGTCGTTGTACACGAGTAATTTCTCCCCAGTTATCAATTTTAAAATTAGTAATTCCAGCACTCTCGGAACGCTCTTGAAGTGAAAGAACTTGGTGTGCGTATTTCTGTTTTTGTCTGCTGCGCAAGAGTTCTCTCTGTTTAGCTAGTTTTGTAAACCTTGCATCTCCCATTACCAGGAAACCCTAGAAAGTCATGTAAAACAATTTTAATAGAACTAATAATGCTAAGCATTTTGAAAGATTGTGTCCAGAAAATTATAAAGTGAATTCTCATGATAACGAAGAATATGTAGAGATACTGGCAGTGGTATTGATAAGCTACATTTCACCAGCTCTTACTTAACGTAATTCGCCAAGTTATGCAATAATTCAGCACTCTACCTAACCTGTAAGTACTGACGACAAACACAAATTAAAAAGACTTTGTTATTAAGGAAATGTGCTCTTGTTAGCTGTATGTTTGAGTAAAATAAGAAAGGTCCATATTATCCAAGTAAAAAGATTTAAAACTTATCCAACGAATATGGCTGTATTACAAACTCAACAGAAAATCACAAAGTGGCGTTCGAGCCAGTTCGTATGTGTGCACATAAAACTTTTGAAATTCCGTGTGGTTATCGTGTATTTAATTGCGAAAATAACTGAAATAACTTATCACTGGTTGAGGTACATCTGCCTGCTAATTAAAAAATGTGATGAATTTGTAATTGGGAGTTAAAAGAATGATGGCAACCTTAGTAAATGAACAGCCGTGTACGTGCTGCTTTCGAAATCCCTCTCTCAAGCGAATTTGAATATCGGGTGGTTTTCTCTTCAATACGTACGATTTGTGCCATAAAACACACACAAAATCGAAGACTTACAAGCGAAAACCGACAAACTGGCCGAAGAAGCAGCCGGCGAAGTCAGGATTCCAGGTGAACATAGACAAGACGGAGGTTATGAAAATAACCAATCAACAACAACAACAACAGCAGCAGCATCTAGCGCCAATCGCCATCAACGGGAGGGATTTGAAAGAGGTTACTTCATTCACTTATCTAGGGAGCATTGTCTCAACTACAGGCAGTCGGAACGGACGAGGATGTCAAATCGAGAATCGGGAAGGCGAGCGAGAAACACATTCATCAACCTGAAACCATTCTGGAAATCTTCGTCACTCAGCATCAACAACAAAATTCGCTCGGATTTTCAGTACAAACGTAAAGTCAGTCAGCTCTTCTATACGGATTAGAAACTTGGAGGGTCACAAAGAATATTTCCAAAAGGTTGCAGACCTTTATTAACAACTGTCTTCGCTGGCTCTCTACTGAAGATCAGATGGCCGGAAAGAATCACCAACAAGAAACTATGGGAACAAGCAAAACAAGAACCAATCACCCAACAAATATGCAGGAGGAAGTGCATTGAGATGGATTGGACACTCGCTGAGGAGGCCGCTGAGTGACATCGCGCGCCAGGCCATTGCTCGAGTGTAACCCGAAAGGGAAGCGGCGAGTGGGACATCAGTGCAAGCAAGGGTGACATGAAGGAGATCGTATGAAGAGGAGTTGAAACAGTGTGGACTAACATGGATGCAGGTGAAAAAGTACAGCGGAAGACAGAAGCAAGTGGAGACGTGCAGCTGAAGTCCATGTTCCACTAGGAACCCAAGGGAACAATAATAATAATGTTTGATTCATGAGATTTTAATTGTTGATTTTAATAATTGCTTTTCAAGAGTTTATTTGTAGGGATTTGATTTGTTTCAAGTTTACTTCACTTGAAGTGTACGCTGAAAACACTACAATGTTTACACCATTTTGCAACAACAATAACAACTAAAATCCAGACTTAACTTTCAAAATCATTTTGTAACCATCCCAATCAATTGGGCAAGTTTTACAAAGTGATTCATAAACTAGAATGTGTACTCTACGTAATGTAGTGTATAGGGTGAAATTCAATAAGAACAGTGATAGTGTGAATCCCTGATGAATACCTGGTAGTGATCATTTTATGTGACAACTGTCCATCTGCTCTTACTCAGCTGTACTTTTTCGAGTAGAATGCTTTGATAAGCTGACCCTCATTGGATTATCTCAGTAAGGCTTGTCTTCTTTCTTATAAACTGGGACAGTCAACGATCAACACAAGTTCGGCGGAACTAACTCGGACTAGCATACTTACTCTGGCCAGTTACTTAGTTAATCTAGTCAGTAATTCGACGTACTTGTACACTTATAGAATCATGTCGGCAGTTCCTGACGTTATGTCTCGTTTGGGAGATTTGATACAGCTTTTTTCACTGATTGCTTTGGAGCAGCGTGAGCAGTGGAAGGAAACCTATGCTAAATTTCATAGGATGTTTGACGATGGACGATGTGGTAGGTAAGATGTTAAGAACTAAACAGACCAAAGTGGTAGTATCGCTATCACCTTGCACGTGGAATTTGGATACACTTTACTTCATCATAGTTTGCACCTATTTAAGGTCTGTGGGTTTTATTTCTTACTGCTTACAAATAGGCTTAAATCGTTGATGTTGAGCACCAGTTAAGGTCTGTAAAGTTTAAGTGACTTAATTACCAATAAACTTCAACCTAGAAGTGATTAATGCTACAGGAATATCAACACAGTTTAGTCATGAACACAAAATGACACACATTGTGCGGGAACTCGTGATGCTAACTACGTTTCCATTGTACCAAGCAAGCAAGGAATCAGTAACTTACTGGTTGAACATCCAGTAAGTGAACTGATGGGCCATTCAAACTACAGTTACCCCTACGTACAAATAATTAGAACCGCAAGACTTTTTGAATATCTTTACATAAAATCAGAGTTCGACGGACCGGCGGTCGAATCTCAGAGGTGATATGAGGTCCCCAAGGGTTGCAAATACACCTTGCTTACGAGTACCAAGAAGCGCAACACTTGGGCCCAAAGCTTCCTGTTAATTTTCGTCAACCATTACGACAGAGAGTCATCTAGCTTGGTGACCACGTTGCATAACTTACTAATAGAATTCAGCCAGCTCCCAAATTAGGGGCTAGATGCATGACCTATCAATGTATCTATAGCTGTTCTATAGGACTTGATATGATTATGAGCAATAGTTTGTGCTCGAAACGTCATCAGTTAATATTACTGTATAACACTGTGATTTATCAAAATAAAATCTTATCTATAATGGAGTGTTCTAAAGGAGGTTGATCGTTAGCTCAAACACCTCAGTGGTAGCGTCTCCGAATGCAGCACTGGATGATGGAGACTTGAATATCAGAGCGGACATCAGATCCTTTAAGTTTGCAGACACACCTTGTTGATAATTGCGAATAAAAAAGAGACCCGGTTATAGGGTTTCCTACCGGTAACCTCTAACCATCTATCACCGAATTTGGAATATGTTTGACACGGATTTCAAACGTATCATATGCAGCGAAATGCTGGGAGACTAGCCTGCAGAGGCCTCCCCTTTAAAGCAAGTTTACCAACATAATACCTAACATCAGCACATAACGTAAGCTTCTATGTACTGACTGACCGTTTCAACATAGAACTTTGCACAGATGTGCAGCAGTCCAAGTCGCCACACTCCATATAGCACACAAAGCAAGAGAAGAGAGTGAAAAAGAAATGCAAAATTGAAACAGTAAATAGAGATATGAGGCAAAAAGAATAGTAATATGGAAGAACAATGCAGTTTTATTGGATATTATAAGTCTCAAGGAGTGGACACATCTGCGTCACTGAGAACGATTTTGAGCCATATCACCGATTGACTCCAGCCATTGGATTTTACCGTCCCGAGGACCCCAACCACGAAGTCTACACCTTCCTACGTGACTCCAACTAACTGTTGTGGATTTCATTGACTGATGAAGCCATGTTTTCGTTTGACCACCACTGGCTCTTTTCCAATCTGACCCTGTGTCAGCCAACATTGCCCGTCGAGGAAGTCGATGGCTAGACATACGTAACACATATCCTAACCATCTCAGCCGATGAAACTTCCAGCCTCGTCGATTGATTTCCCCTCCCTACCTAGAACTCGACGCCTAACCTCAATATTGCTCACCTTGTTATACCACTTCACACGGGAGGTAGAACGCAGGCACCTATGATCAAAGATAGCTAGCCTTTTCATGTCTTCCACTTTCAATGGTCAGGCCTCACAGCCATAAACGAGGACGGAGCACAATGATGAGCAGTACACATGCCCTTTGGTCGATAGCCGGATATCACGTCTACACCAGAGACGGTGTAAACTGGCATATGCCAGACGAGCCTTCTATATCCGTGATGAGATTTCGTCAGCGGTCAACCCTCTGGCACTAACTCATGCAACTTCCCAAATAAGTGAGGTGCTCAACGCGCTCTACCATTTCACTTCGTATTTCTAAGCTAGGAGTCAACGTGTCCAGTCCTGTAGCATCAATTAACATTTGGCGGGAGTGAATCGCATGCCAAACATTCACAGATTGCAGCTCTAGGTGTTCAGAAGACTCCATATACTATACCTTGACATCCAATAAGTAGCATTGTTTAATGTTACAAATTGTTTAATTGTTACAAATGTATCTATACCATGGGCGTTACAAATGTTGTGGAAGAACTGAAGAGTTAAGTCCGACTGATTAATTAAGGAATTGCTTAATGTAATCCCACCGTATTCAGAAAATCAAATGGCTTTTGTGAGCACTTGACTGCTTAGGCTGCTGCTTGTCCACAAGAAAAACTCGGACTTTCATTGGAAAACCATATCTATATAATGGGCTTTTTGTAGGGATTCGGATTAATTTCAATCCGGATTTCATTAAAATCAACATCAATTAGAGAAGCATTGAAAATCACGGGGCACTAGGTGGCTGGTTAATCCTAATTTAGGATTCTCCGGCGGTGTGCATCCACGACCTTTCTAGGAATCGAATCCTGGCCTTTAGATTACGAGAGCAGACTGTGTGGCTATCCAGCCACTTGGGCCGGAATTCAGTTACTTATGAATTCTAACTTTGTCAATTCGTGATACAGCACTACTCTCAACCAGTGCCTTTTGTGAGCGCACACCATACATTGATATAGTGGACGCCATTAGTCACAACTAATTACAACTTTGGGACACCTACTCAGTAGCCTCTAATGAGGTGAAAATTGATATTCAGACCATAGGTTTGTATATGGAGTTAAATTGATTTCAGGGT